TGATGGCATTTACCAAAAATAAACCATGGTCTCCAGGGACTCGCGGTTGGCTCGTCTGTCAGCGCGGGCTTCTTGGTCTCGGTGACCCCGTCTTCAGCGAGTGCACCCCAGCACCCCAAAGTATGACGGGAGGCGGGAAGAGCAAAGACCCGGGGTCACTTTTCAATGGCCTCTTACGGGTGTGTGACGTCCATCTTTTTTTTTTTTAACCAAACACGGGCGTGTGTCATCCGACTGCTGATTGAGAGGTGGCAGAAGGGAAATGAAGCACATCTGCACCGTTTATCAGGGCCATGGCAGGCTGGGACGACAGAGGGGTCCCAGGTTGTCCAGGCGGCCACACCTTTGACTCCAAAGAGTTCAGAATGTGGTGGCATGCAAGCATTCTGTGCCAGAGACCGGGGTTCTGTCCCCGGCCACTCCGTGTCTGTCACCGGAGCCTTGTGCATGGGTGTGATGCGATGCCGACCAGCTCTGTGGGCCTTTCAGCGAAGATGGACGGGGAAGAAAGGCCTGCCGACCGTAGGGGCATGGTGACTCGGGGCGGCGCGCTGGCAGCTGGCGACAGCCCTGGGCCAGACCAGGTGGCAGACTGTCCCACGGGCCTGCCTTCCCAGGCAGCTTTGTGAAGCTTTGTCACCAGAGTCAGAGTGGCTTTGATGGCAGTCCATTTGTTTGCAGGTGAAGCAAATGAGGCCCCTCAAAGGGAGTGAAGCCCTTTCTCGGGGCTCACAAGCCCAAGTCCAAAGCCTCTTCCCCCAAATCCCTCTCCTCGGAGAACGGCCTTCCAACAGCGGTGGGACGGAGCAGTACTGGCTTCTGCTGGTGAACATGCCCTCCTCACTCCTTCCCGCCACACTCGGCTTGGGGACTGAACGCCCCATTCATGCCAAGTTTCGGGAAGTGGGGCCCAGCCCCCCTCAGGGCCCTTGGCTTTCAGTGTAGCTGTGCCCCTCATACGATGCTACATAATACAAGGACCCACTCACTACCATGGAGTCGATGCCAGCTCGGGGACTGCGTGTTTCCCAGATGGTCACTTTGACGGAAGTAGACAAGCTTGTGGCTAGCAGCCCCTCATCACCGTGTGCCGCCAGGGCTCCATAGCCATGGCATTCGGTGATTCGTGAAATATTTGCCCAGTATGGTCTGTGGATGACAGTAGAAACATCCAAATGGTCCTTGGCAGTCAAGACACCCCCACCCCTGGTCTAGGACAAGGACCCTCCAGCGTGGCCAGGTCCAGCCCCCCTCTCTGGGATGGGACAGGACCTCTATTCCCATATCCTCTCTCGGAGTCAAGAGCAGAAGCCAACTGAGCTGCAAGTCCTTGGGTGGCACAGATGGTTTATGACCAGCTGCTAACCAAAAGGTGGACAGTTCAAGCCCACCCGGTTGCATCACAAAAAGGCCAGGTGCCCCTGCTGCTACAGAGATTACAGCCTTGAAGCCAGTGGAGGAGCAGCTCTGCCCAATACCAGGTCACCACGAGTCACACACATTCACCGGCAATGGGTTTCATTTTGGGATTTGGAGGCAGCTGTGGTGTCAGCTTGCTGACCACTGCTGGGGTCAGTGACAGGTGATAAGGTGACCGCCACACAAAGCTTTGGTTTACCGAGGCCAAATGTGACAGGACCTCTTCAGCCCTCCACTACCCTTTTAAATAACTGTTTCTTTAAAGTTTGGGGCAGTCACTGAAGCAAAATAATAACTAACTCAGGGACCCTGGTGGCCCAATGGGTTAGGCATTGGACCAACCCAAACATCACTAGTTCGAAACCCCCAGAAGAGAAAGGAGGCGTCCTTTCTCCATTAAGAGTAGAGCCCTAAAAACCCTACGTGCTGTCCTGTAGAGCGCCCCCGTGTTGCAATTGACATCAGGGGGTGTACGCGTTAACTGCTGTGCCAACGGGGCTCCTAATTCAGACTATTCCGGTGCCGAGTAAGCCAGACCTGTATGTAGGGATGCAGCACGTCCCCAGACAGACCCTGGTACACACAGTGGGGAGTGAGGCCTATCAACATGCATACGAGGACCCAGTTCAAAGGAGACCGGCCAGATGGCCTCAGGAGAGCTTCAGTCGTTGCTTTTTCTTCATCGCACAGCAGATATTTTGCGCTTTGTATAAAAAGAGGAATGTGCTGGAAACATTTCCCCACATTCTAGATATTTTCACCCGTATTGTGTGTGTGTGGCTTGGTGGTTTCTCATTAGAGGGATTTCCATGTAACCCTGACAGCTGCACATCTAAGCCATTTACCATCATCCATCATCTGTGATCATTAAGTTTGCAGGGAACATCATAGGACCCAGCGGTCTTCTTCATTTACAAAATTTTGAACCATTTGACAGTGAACTGAGTGGTTTACAGATCACCAGTTTTCCATTCAAGTCATACACATTTTGTCTCAGGTCATTGATCGTAATTCCCTCAGACTCCCACCACGTGCCCCTCTTCCTCTTGCGTTCCAGCCTCACTGAATGCTGTCCTGAGTAAACGCTTGATCTCAAAAGGCATGATTATCCCAAGGTATGCATCCCTTCCCACTGGTGTCACTGTTCCCTTTACAGACCTGCCTTTGTTTAGCTAAAAACAATAAGCCATAGAGGCAAGTTCAGTTCCAGACTTGAAGGGTGACTTAAGGGCCGGTCTCTGGGTCCCACCAGTTTCCATCCGGCTGGGAAACAAGCCTGGTTGGGCTCTTCTATCACTTTTGAGTTTGACTCCGCCTTTTTCTTCCCCTCTACTCAGGTCCTTGTAACGTGACCTCGTTCAGAGCCACTGGTGGTGGGGGTAGCTGGACACCGTCTAGCTCTTCTGGTCTCAGGGTCCTGGAGGCTGATGTTCACATAGATCGTTAGTCCAACGGACTGCTTCCATATGCCCTTTGCATCACTCATTTGCTATGGAGAGGGAGACCTCTCTGACCCCAGATGCTACTCACCAAAATAGATTGTAGATCATTGTCTTTGTGGATGTTATGCCAATTGACCTGTGTGTCCCAAGACTATGGTCCTGAGCTCCCAGACCCAGCAGGTAGCACCCATTTCTGATTTAAGTAGATTTCTAAAAGCACATGTGTGAGACCAGAGGGGCGGGGGATGTACGATGTGAACCTTTCTCCCCATTGTGCTTCCCTAGCTGGATCCCCTCAGCAGCCAGCTCACCTGCCCTTGGCTTGTTTGCAGTCCCTAGGTTTTTAGAGAACTTCGCAGGATCGTCTGTTTCCACCAACTCACTTTCACTAATCACCAGGGGGTTCTGCTTTGGCCCCTAAAATAAGGCTGGGCTTGGCCTATGTCTCGGATAAAAGGAATTTTGAACCCTGCGGAGAATGGTTGTCCTATGGAGCACACTAGAAAGCATGAATGCAAGGAATGCTCAGCGTGACTACCCTTGGACTCAGCACAAGATGTGCAGGCGTCTTCAAACTACAGCCCACGGGCCATATACGGCCCGCCAGGTGTTTTTGCCCCATTTGTTTTTTTACTTCAAAATAAGCTATGTGCAGTGTGCATAGGAATTTGTTCATATTTTTTTTTTTTTTAACTATAGTCCAGTCCTCCAACGGGTCTGAGGGACAGTGAACTGGCCCCGTTTAAAAAATTTGAGGACCCTCTGAAGAGAAAAGGCTACTTGTGCAACATCTTTGAGGAGTAAGGTGTTTTGGACATGTTGTCAGGAGAGACCAGTCACTGGAGAGGGACACTGTTAGGTAGGGTCGAGGGGTAGCCAAGAAGAGAAAGGCCCTCAAGGAGACGGAGTGACAAGGTGGCTGCAGTGATGGCTGAGGCACAGGAGCCGTCTTGAGGACGGGCAAGGCTTCATTCTGTTGTGCATGGCGTCGCTGTGGGTTGAGCCAGCTCCCTGGAACCTTGCAGCATGGTGAGCCCAATCCAAGTCTTTTCAGTCGCCTGGTACGTGTGCAAAAGCTGGACTATCCGGGGGACTGGATGCATGTGAGTTATGGTACTGGCAAAGAATACGGTATGTGCCATGGGAAGCCAGAAGAACAAAGAAGTCTGTCCTGGAGCAAGTACAGCCAAAATGTTCCTTAAGAGCAAGTATAAGATTTTGTATTGCTTACTTTGGGCATGTGATCATGAGAGACCAGTCCTTGGAGAAGGGCATCATGCTCCCAGCGTGTTGGCAAAAAAATAAGACCTTCAAACAAGTTGGAGTGACACAGTGGCTGTACCAATGGACTTAATCAGACCTATTCTGGACATGGCACAAGACTAAGCAATATGTCATTCTTCTCAAGATACTCTTTGACTGAAAACAAGCCAAGTGGTCAGCAGTATTAATCTTGCTTAAAGATGCAACAGGGAATCCACACCATAGAATCCTGGTGCCATTAGGAATTACCAGACTTGTTAACCTCTTCTGGTTCACAGATCCTATTAAGAATCTGATAAATGCAGTGTTTCTTCAACACCTGAAAAATATATATACCAAGTCAAAAGGTACTGCCACTGGGGGCTCCAGTTCCTACATGCACAGGTTTATTTCAAATGTGTCTCTGTGATCAGTGGATGGCTGCAGACAAGTCCTCTCAGGAATAAACCAGTCTTGGTCTTGTTAGGGTGTCTCCCCCCAAAAAAAAATTACCAAGGAGGGGGCCAGGATTTGTTTTCAGGTCAGGGCGCATATCAATTTGGTGACTGAACTCAAGTAGACACCTTCCCAAATCATTGAAACTGCAAGTTTCAGGAATGCCATTCCATATAAGGTGAGGTTTGAGATAGGTCAAGGAAGGCCCCGAAGACCTGAGATGAACTCAAGGCAGGGAGGTCAGCTCCAAGGTCAGAGTGACTCTTAAGACTCAAAAGGACACAGAAGACCCAGACTTTTGCTGCTGTTTCAGATTCTGGGGTAAGGTATGTTTTTAAGAAAATTGAAATTGTGCTGGTAAAAGGCCAGAGAAGTGCCACCATGGATTTTTTTCCCCCTTCTTCTTCCAGTTGCAATGTACCTACTCATTCTTTGAGTGTGGCCAGGGCTGGCCTGTGAGAACTTCATTTGGAAGCCTTACCCCATCAACCCCACAGCCCTGATCTTGCCCTTCTTTTTGTTCCCCAAGGACATTTCAAAGTCACATGACTTGAGTGAGTCCCGCGAGGATGCCCAAGCTGCCATTCTGATGAGGCGTTCGTTAATCAAAGGGCGATGGAAACCACCGACTTCAGAAGCATATAGCCCTAGGGGCTGGACATGTCAAGGAACAATAATTTCACAGCTCGGCGTATTTTTGTTCAATAAAGATTTTTATGTCGTTATAAGCAATTATTTTTTTACTTACCCTCATAAGCACAATATTTTCATCTCACTAGTCTATCCAGAATCCCAAAGTGGTGCAAATAGAAAGTCTGACTGCCAACCAAAGGGTCATTTTCAAGTCCACCCAGAGGTGCCTCAGAAGAAAGGGTTAGTGATCTGAAAACCAGCCATTGAAAAACCCCAAGGAGCCCACTTCTATTCTAACACACAAGAGGAGACTTTGGAATCAATGTAAGGCAATCTGACTTTGGGAGCCCATGCACACTGGATCCCAAGGTTACTGCTAGAGAGCATGGAAAATGCCTTCCCAATCAACCTTATCACTATCCACAGTACATATATAGTCCTGGGCTGCTCTTTCTATGTGCTTACCCCTCACATCCACAGGGATGCGTCCTCACGGACTCTCAGCGACTCACCACAATGTCCGAAGACCTTTCCCTGCAAACATCAGCAGAAGCCCACCCTCCCTAACAGCTTCTCTGGGAGCCTGCAATTGCTGACTTGCAAGAGGCAATGAGGCTGAGCTTCACCTGACTGGCTCCTAGCTGCCTCCAAAAACCATATCCAGCTTGCCTCCTGGAGGCAAGGCCTGGAGTTGGTGCTGTTTCTTAAAGAGAAACATGATAAATAAGACTAGCATTCAATCCCAATTAAACAAAATGTTATCCTCCATTAAAAAAAAGAATTCCCTTCTTGTCACTGTTGTGAGGTACAGTCTAATTGGTTTCAACTCATTACAACCCAATGTTCAACAAAAAAACACTGCCCGGTCTGTGCCATCCTCAAATTGATGTGTTTGAGCCCACTGTTGCAGCTACTGTTGTCAATCCATCTCATCAAAGGTCTCCCTCTTTTTCTCAGCCCTACGTTACCAAGTTACCAAGCATGAGGCTCTTGTCCAGGGACCGATCTCTCCTGTAACAGGACCAAAGCCCAAGAAAAAGTCTCGCGATCTTCCTTTTTAAGGAACATTCTGGCTATACTACTAAGAAATCTGTCTTTCTAGCAGTCCATGGTACTTTCAAACTTCTTAGCCAACACTATACTTCAAATATACAAATTCTTTGGTCATCCTTATTCAGTGTCCAATTTTTAGTTTTTGTCACCAACACTCATCGTTATCCGGCTGACTTCCAAATCACAGCGACCCTACAGGGCAGAGCAGAATTGCTCCTGTGGCTTCCCGAGATGATACGCCTTTAGGATGACCCGCCACTAAATGGACCTGCACCTTGGGTTGGCAGGGAATGCTATTCCTGGTTTGTATGACCCAAGAACCCCTCTGTTATTAGATAACATCCTTCATGTTGCCTCTTGGTCCCACGTCTTGAAATATTTGTGCTTAATCCCTTGAATAGGAAAACTGCCAACTCCTGGCCTTGACCAACACTTGGTTTGAAGATGAAACGTTGTAAAATATAGAAAAGCACGTGGGTCCACTTGGATAGAAAAAAAGTTGAACCCACAAAGGGTTCAGAACGGTGACCTTCAGAATGTCTAACGGCAAGGAACTTCCGCTGCCTCCGTTGCTCAAAACTTGACCGCTGCTTGCCCTCTCTTCCCCACAAGGAGTGTGGGTTATTCGTCATTATCGTCAGGAAAGCAACCGAGCTGCATGGAGTGCCCTCGCCCCGCCTTCTTTCTAGAAAGGAGCTTCTGGAAGCCCGTTCCACTGGTGAGGAGGGGCTCTCCGCCCGCCCCCCGCCCCACGTCTTCTAGCGGAGGAAACTGTGCGGAACCCTTTGAACCCAAATCTGCCTTTGCTTCCAGGACTGCGTACACCGCTGGGCACGGCCCGCCGGAGAGTCGTGACGAGCTTCCAGGCTGGAGGTCTCCAAAACGCACCTCTGTCCGGAGTTTCCTGGACGAAGCCGTGCGAGGACGAAATGAAGGCCCTGACACAGGCAGAAACAGACTCTTCCGCATGCGGAGCGGCCAGTAGGATCTTACACCCGGGAAATCGCAGCATCCTCAGTCAGCCGGACCCACTCTTACCTAACGCGCCCACGAAACGCCTTTGCGCAGGCGCCGGTGCCGTTCTGCGCACGCGCGCCACTGGCTCCACCCCCTTGCGCCAGCCCTTGGGGAGCCTACTTCGCGCCTGTTTCCTTCCCTCACTTCCGTCGTTTCCTGGCGACGGCCGTAAGTGGCTGGCGGAAGCGGCCCACGAGGCCCGCCGTAAACGGCCCCGCTCGCGCCACTTCCGGCCGGCTTCCGCGGACAGCGCTGGTGGGCGATCGTGAGGCGCCGGAGGACGTTCCCCGCGGCCGGAGTCATGGAAATCCCGCTGCCGCCCGACGGTGAGGCCCAACCCGACTCGGGGACCGTTCCTCAGTTCTCCCCCGGAGTCCGCCTGGCCCCAGCCCCGCCTCCTGGGGTCGTTGTGCCTGCGAGGGGGCGGGGCTCGGCCTCCTGAGTTGGCCTGCGGCCTCCCCGCGGGACCCCACGTTTCTCGCGCGTGGATGGCCCCTGTCGGGACCCGTAGGAGGGAGGCCTCTCCGCGGCCCGCCCCGAGGGACCCTTGCCCGGCCGACTGGGCGTGCGGTGCCAGGCCCCGGGTCTTGAGCGGCCCCGACTGACGTCCCGCGTGGCCTTTTCTCCTGCTTGCAGACCAGGAGCTCCGAAATGTCATCGATAAGCTGGCCCAGTTCGTGGCTCGCAACGGGCCCGAGTTTGAAAAGATGACGATGGAGAAGCAGAAGGACAACCCGAAATTCTCGTTCCTTTTTGGAGGCGAGTTCTACAGTTACTACAAGTGCAAGCTGGCGCTGGAACAGCAGCAGCGTGAGTTCCCCCTCCCCACGGTGCGCTCGGGTCGCCCCTGCCTCTTCAGGGACCCTCCCAGCCGCCTTCTTTCGGGGTGCTCGCGCTTTCCGTGTGACTCGGGGCAGCGGGGTCCGCACGATCCCTGCACAGTGAGACTGTCGGGCCAGTGTGTGATGGAGATCGCGGTGGTTGGAGCCTCACCTGGACTGTGGGTCGAGCATCCGCTATTGAGGACCCGGGTCCGCTGGACCAGAGCGGACTTGCCCGGTGGCCCCAAGGGAACGTAGTGACTGCTGGACTGATGCCTGCTCCCAGGCGCTGCGCGGGCCCCTGTCTCTCTCACCCCCGCCGGGTTTTGGTGCATTTCCGATACCTGCAACCAGGCAGGCTGGAGAGAATTTGATAGCTCTCCTTGGCTTCTTATTCATTGCCGTCCAATTGCTGCCCAACTATTGGTGCCCCCTTTGGGGCAGAGTAGAGCTGCTTCATAGAGTCTAATAGGCTTTCCCAAACGGATTGCCAGGCCTTTCCCAGCACCACTTGGCTCATTCACCAGTCTTTCAGTGGGTAGATGAGGCACCCGGGGTCTCAAGTTATTTTTGTGCCTGCAAGCGATTGGGCATCAGGGATTCTTCTGGCCCTGCCCTCCAAGAGTCTAGAATGGGACTGGTAGGGGCAGCTGGCTTTTGAATGTTGATGCAATGATCCCCAGGTAGTGCGCTTCCTGAAGGCACCTGTCATGTTCTGTAAACCTGCTGTCTCTTTGTAAGTTGTAAGGTGGTACGTGTCTTCCTTGGCTCCTGACTTGTGGTGATTCTTAACCACGGTGGTCAGGAGATTGTAGTCTGTAGGGTTTGGGGAAATCGATTGGCAGGCTTCTCCTTGTCCCTCTCGGTTGGGAAGCTTTGTTGGCGCCTGTTCAACATCAGAGTAATGAGCAAGCTTCCCCAAAGAGACGGGTGGTGGCTGTGTGATAAGGTGTGTTGGCCGGGAATGGAACCTGGCCTTCTTTCCTGAGGGGAGGTCAAGAAGTCTACCCTAAGCCTCCACTGCCGCCTCCTGAATGCAAAGGGAGTTGCCAAGGAGAGGACCATTGGAAAGGGCCAGCTCCCTGAAGGTCCAGCTGACCTAGCTGGGTCAGAGACCTGTTCTAGCATGTAGCACGTGGGCACTCTGTGAACATTTGCAAGCTCAGTGTGCACAGGCACGATGGCGCCAATGGAGTCCTGGCCCTGAACCGGGAGGCCCAGCATGGTGGGAGCACCTTAGAGACCAAACCAGCTGCCTGGACATCGGCCCTGGCTCCTGTTGACCCCACGGGCATCAGAGTAGAACTGCTGTTTTTTTCTAAAGTAGATGATCGCCAGACCTTTTTCCGAGGTGCCTGGCTGGACTCAAACCTCCTACCTTTCTGTTTGCAGCCAAGCACATTTGCCATTTGTACTGCCCAGGGACTCCAGTGGGAGTTCTGGGGTGTTCTGTGCCAGATTGGCTTTCCTCCCTGGCGCAGGGATTCTTCTGGGCCCTGGTGAGGTTTGAGTGAGGCAAGGAACCGCTGTCGGAAGTGGGAGGTTAAGTGCCATGTGTGTTGCTGCTATGTTTCTGGACAGCTCTCCCATCGCCCGGCTCCCTGGGTCTACACCTGCTGCCTCAGGAGTCTGAGGCGTGGGAGAGCTGGCTTTGGTTTGTGGCATGTCACATTCTTGGCGGCAGGATGGGGAGGGTGGGCTGGGAGACCAGTGAGAAGTGAATGACTGGTGAGCAGTGGCAATTCAGGGCGTGGGGGGAGTAGGGCCAGTTAGGTGTTGAGGAGGAGGAGGAAAGTCTCCCTGGATCAGTGCCTGGCTTGACTGACCAGGTGGTGAGAGCAGCTTTCTCTGTGAAGGGGCTCCAGAGGGCTGAGGACAGGGAGCTGCCCTGAAGCTTGGTGCTGTAATGGGAAGGGTGGGTGCTCACTTCTGGGATGGGGTGGTTGAGGAAGAACTGTTCACACAAGGGAGTATGTGTCCTGGACAAAGGGACAAACCTTTGAGGGGCCTGGGTCTGTAAGTGGACTGGGCCAGGAGCGCACAGAGGAGGGGCTGCTGGATGGCTGGGGATTGGACTGCTGAGGAGTCCGGCGTTTGTCCTGAGGGCTTCGGGGAGCTCTGCAGGAACTTTAGAGTGGACGTAGGGCCCTTGTTTACGCACACACAGTGCCCCCTCCCTTCCCCTTGTGGGACCAGTTGCTGGGGTAGGGTCAGGCTGTGCTTTCTTTTGTAGTGTTCATGGGTTCTGGCTGTGTCGGCCTGGATTCGTGGCCTGAATAGCTTCGGCTGTCTTGAGGTGCTGCGGCCACTGTCTGCCCTGCTGCCTGTGGCAGTTGGTTTGGGCCCCCTTGCTCCAATAGCCTCAGCCCACGAATCCAGGGGAGGGAGAAGGGGCTGGGGGTGGAGGGGCGCAGTGTGTGCTCAGGAACTGGAAGGTCAGGGGCCTCTAGTGGGTCCGTGTGGGAAAGAGAGTGGTGAGGAGACAGCCCCAAGACCTCCAGGGAAAGAAAGGGCTCAGAGGGGCCCCGCTGGGGTCCATGCAATGCAGGCAGGTGGCGGGGAGCCAGGGCCGGGAGTGGCCCTCGGTGGAGCAGGTCTGTGGGGACCCTGTCCTCATGGGTCATTGTCCTCCCCCAGTCATTTGCAAGCAGCAGGCCCCTGAGCTGGAACCAGCCGCAGCCCTCCCTCCCCTGCCCCAGCCCCCTCTGGCCCCCACGGCGCCCATCCCACCGGCCCAGGGCACCCTGTCCATGGACGAACTCATCCAGCAGAGCCAGTGGAACCTGCAGCAGCAGGAGCAGCACCTACTGGCCCTGCGACAGGTATGGGTGCTCCCTCCCCGTCCTGAGATGGTCCCAGGAGCACCCAGGGCTCCCTGTCCCTCCTGTAAGCTGGAGCCCCCAGCTTGCTGTAGGGCCCTGCATTTTGGTGGGTGGGTGGCTGTGGTCTCCATCTCCTCTGTGCTGCCTCCTCGGCTCCTCACGGCTTGCCGACCCCGCCCCAGTAGAGGCAGGGCCGTTGTGCTCCTCTGGGCCTTCATCTTCCCTCTCGCAGTGGCAAGGGGCTGCATCACAGGGGCCCCGAGCACGCCACTGGGCAGTCCCTGGGCCTCGCTGCAAGGCCCTCCTCATAGTCTGGCCCACCTGACCTGCAGGAGCAGGTGACTGCGGCCGTGACCCACGCCGTGGAGCAGCAGATGCAGAAGCTGCTGGAGGAGACCCAGCTGGACATGAACGAGTTTGACAACCTGCTGCAGCCCATTATCGACACGTGCACCAAGGACGCCATCTCGGTGAGGGGTGGCTGCGGGGTGCCTGAGCATGGCTGGCCCATGTCAGGAGCCCCATGCACCCTGCCTTGGGCCTGTGGCCTTCTCCTCCCATGAGCTGGGACCCTTGCTCACTCTCGCTTGTGTGGCTGATGCAGGCTGGGAAGAACTGGATGTTCAGCAACGCCAAGTCCCCACCACACTGTGAGCTGATGGCCGGCCACCTGCGCAACCGCATCACTGCCGATGGGGCACACTTTGAGCTGCGGCTGCACCTCATCTACCTCATCAACGATGTGCTGCACCACTGGTGAGCCGACTGCCCACCCAGCTTTACCTCTCGGCCGGGCTTGGCTCTGCTCTGGGTCCCCCTGCAGCCACTTTGCCAGCAATTTGTTGGTTTCTGAGAGAGGCTATGCGGCAGCGGTTCTCAACCTGAGACTCAACCCCTTTGAGGGTTGAATGACCCTCTCACAGGGGTCGCCCGATTCATAACAGTAGCAAAATGACAGTTATGAAGTAGCAACGAAAATAATTTTACGGTTGGGAGGTCACCACAACATGAGGAACTGTGTTAAAGGGTGGCAGCATTAGGAAGGTTGAGAACCACTGCTATAGGGAGACCAGGTATCTGGACCAGCCACCATGGGTGTCATCTGGTTCACCCTTAGACTGAGCTCAGCTCGGAGGAGTAGGAGCTCCACCTCCCCTGGTGGGCGGGGGGCTGCCTCCAACTGCATCTGCAGCCTGGGCCCCACCCTGTCTCAGCTTCACTTTGCACCCCAGCTGCTTCCTTTCCCCACTTATCTCCTTTGAGAGAGAACCCACCATCCAGAACCTTCTCTGTTCTCACTGCATTTCCAACTCTGCAGACCTGTCTCTCGCCTTTCCTCGGCGCTGTACCAGCGACTCTGCTCTGGGGGCACTGGCCGCCCTCCTGCCTCCCGCCCGCCCCTCAGCCAGCCCAGGCCCCTGCTCTTCATGCAGCTCCCCTGGGAGTCCTCCCAGGAGCGGGGATGGGGAGGGGGGCGGACCCTTGGCATCGCTCATGTCTCCCGTCACTGCTGGTCTCAGGCCTGTGTGTACAGCCTTGACCAGCCTGGCTGGGCAACAATCTTCAGCCCCATGGTACCCTGCGTCCTCCCCTTGCCCCAGGCAGAGTTCATAGGTGCTGGCTCCCACTGGCTGGGTCTGTCTCCCCCTCCTGTTGCCGTCCCCCACACCAGCCCAGCCTTTCCCCGGGGCCCGAGCCAGCAGAGGGCGTGGTGGCTGGAGCTGTGGTGTTGACAGGCATGTGGCTGGGTCCCGCCAGGGCCCTGACGCGCGGAAGGTCTCTCCCTCACAGCCAGCGCAAGCAGGCGCGGGAGCTGCTGGCTGCCCTGCAGAAGGTGGTGGTGCCCATCTACTGCACCAGCTTCCTGGCCGTGGAGGAGGACAAGCAGCAGAAGATCGCCCGGGTGCGTGCTGAGTGGCGCAGGGCAGGGCGCACGTGTGGCACCCCGACTTCCTGCTAACCCAGCTCCTCCTCCCCCAGCTCCTGCAGCTCTGGGAGAAAAACGGCTACTTTGATGACCCTATCATCCAGCAGCTGCAGAGCCCGGCCCTGGGGCTCGGCCAGTACCAGGTGGGCACCCGGCCCTGCCACCCAGGGATGTTGGTTCAGCTATTTGCATCCGAACCCAGGGCCCTGGAGTCAGGGGTGCAGAACAACAACTTTGGGGTCCCTGCTCCCCTCCTGCTGATGCGGCGATCATAGCACACCTTGTCTGGTTGCTCAAGGGCCCACCACATTCAGGTGTGGAGGGAGCCTCCTCCTGCCTTTCCCCAGGCCTCCTGGCAGTGACCATGCACAGGCTATGAGGAGGGCTTCTGTTGCACCCCAGCTCACCACCAGCTGTATGGTGTCCCCCCACCCCTCCTCCCATATCCTCTAAGGTGGCATCCTGCCTCCTGTGGCGGATGCTAACGCCTCAGCTGCCCTGCAGCCCTATGATTAGCCCCATGGGGGCTCTGTTGTGCCCCAGCTCAGCTGACTCACCTCGGACTCCACTGCTCCCCACAGCCCCTGTGAGGCTGAGCCTGCCCCGCTCCTATACACAAACGCCCCACCCCCGACGCCCTTGTCCCAAAGCCAGGAGCCCTCGGAGGATGGGCCAGGGGTTGCTTGAACTCAGGCCCCCGACACCAGGTGGTCATAAGCTGCTGGTCACCAGACCCTGCTGTCTCCGTGGGTTTACTGAGTAGTGACCACCTAGGCCCTGGGCCTCAGTCCCCTGAGCGTGCTCAGGGCTTCTCCCTAGGCTGGATTGCTGGGGGTCTGGGTGGCGAGCCTCGCTGAGGGCCCTGAGTGCTGGTCATCCCTCTCCAGGCGACACTCATCAGCGAGTACTCGTCGGCGGTGCAGCCGCTGCAGCTGGCCTTCCAGCAGCAGATCCAGACCCTCAAGACGCAGCACGAGGACTTCGTCAGCAGCCTGGCCCAGCAGCCACCGCCCCAGATGCCCTTGCCACAGATGGACGCTGATGTGAAGGCCACGCCACCCCCTGCTGCCCCACCCCCGGCCCCCACGCCTGCCCCAGCCATCCCACCCACGACCCAGCCAGGTACACACTCGCCACCTACCTGCCCTTGTCAGGATGATGGCCTTTGGGCCCCGTACTAGGAACCTACATAGGCTGTTCATGATCAGGGGGCCCAAGATGAGGGGGAGGGGAGACACAGGGGCCCAGTCTGAACACAAATGGGGACGTTCAGAAACCTAAATGACCGACTAACTTGTGAGGTGGGATAAGTCCCTGGTGACCAGCTCTGGCCCCTCCAGAACAGAAGGCATATTGTCTGGGAGCCTGGATCAAAGAGGGGTAGACAGGCTGTGACATGAGTGGGCAGTTTGTATTCAAACCCCCGTGAGGTTTGCAGAGAGAGGGGCATGTCCTGTGCAGGGTGAGTGGTGGCGGCGAGTCTCGGTGGGGTTGTCACTAGACCGGAGTTGTGTGAGTGAGGTCAGAGGCGCTGGCCTGGTCTGAGGGCCCTGGGTGATGGGTGAGTGTCTTGGTGGCACTCCTCACTGACAACGCCTCTAATCCTGTGGCTGCTTCCAGAGGACAAGCAGCCCCCCATCCAAATGCCTGGCTCTTCCGAGTATGATGCATCAGGAGGGGTCCAGGACCCTGCAGCTGCTGGGGCCCGGGGCCCTGGACCCCACGACCAGATCCCACCCAACAAGACCCCCTGGTTTGAGCAGCCTCACCCTGTGGCACCCTGGGGCCAGCAGCAGGTAGTTCGGGAACCTGTGGGGGAGGGAAGGCACCAGAGCTGTGCAGGGGCCGAGGGCAAGAATTGGGTGGAGGCAGAGCGCTGGTTGGAGCCGTCTTCCGGGCAGAGTCGGGGGTGGGTAAAGGTACACCGGTGGTTCTTTGCGCCGTGGGAGTTCTAGATGCCTTGTTCCTCTGGATGGCCGCACGGGTCTGCTTTTCACTGGGCTCTCTGGCGTTGGCACCATGAACCTCCCAGGTCTGCCTGACCCCGAGAGTACATGCCAGCCATTAACACCTGGCTTCTCTGGTGACCGTGGAGCTCCTGGGACCACCCGGTCCTAACCCCACAGTCCTGGCCTGTGCTCATTGGCCCGGCCTCCAGGGTGGCAACTGTCTACAGATGACTCGCTTCTGTGGCCCTGAACAAGGATTCAGGAACAAACTGCCTTGGGGCATTGGGAGCTCTCCTGGTGCCAGGCTCACCCTGTCATGTTGTCAGGGAGATGGTGCTGGTGGGCGGAGCAGCAGTGGGGGCACTCTTTGGGCAGAGGGCAGGCGTGGTGCTGGTAGGTGAGGCACTCAGTACCCCAGGACCAGTCCATCTCATCTAGCACCTGCTCTCTGCCTCACAGCCCCCCGAACAGCCCCCATACCCGCACCACCAGGGGGGCCCGCCCCACTGCCCGCCCTGGAACAACAGTCACGAGGGCATGTGGAATGAGCAGCGCGGCGGTGACCCTGGCTGGAGTGGGCAGCGGGAGGCCCCCTGGAGTGGGCAGCCCGAGCCCGGCTGGAGCGGCCAGTTCGAGGGCCCCTGGAACAGCCAGCACGAGCAACCTCCCTGGGGCGGAGGCCAGCGAGAGCCACCCTTCCGCCTGCAACGCCCGCCTCCCTTCCGAGGGCCCTTCCCGCCACACCAGCAGCACCCACAGTTCAGCCAGCCGCCGCACCCTCACAACTTCAACCGCTTCCCACCACGCTTCATCCAGGATGACTTCCCCCCTCGGCACCCCTTCGAGCGACCCCCCTACCCACACCGCTTCGACTACCCGCAGGGCGACTTCCCCGCTGGTGAGTGCTAGGGACGCCGGCTGGGAGGCCAGGCCTGCGGAGATGGTTCTAACACGGGCTGTGGCCCTCATTTCTTCCCCGCAGAGATGGGGCCCCCACATCACCACCCTGGCCACCGCATGCCACACCCCGGAATCAACGAGCACCCACCCTGGGCTGGGCCCCAGCATCCTGATTTCGGGCCTCCTCCACACGGCTTCAATGGGCAGCCCCCCCACATGCGGCGTCAGGGCCCCCCCCACATCAACCATGACGATCCCTCCTTGGTGCCTAATGTGCCGTACTTTGACCTGCCCGCAGGGCTGATGGCCCCCCTTGTGAAGGTACGTGGTCGTCTGTCCCCATAGCTGGGTGGGCAACGTAGCAGCAGTCCTGGTAACAGGCCGGTGGGGAGGGGGGGCGTGGCGGCAGGTTGAGGAACCCCCAGAGCTGAGGCATCAGCCCTGCCACGCATCTCACTCCAGTGGCCCGCCTGCTCTAGCGCCTCAGCCACCTCTGCCCCTGCCCCATGGGACGCCCCACAGGGTGAGGCGACGGGTCCGGGAGCTGGGGACAGCACACTGCAGTCACGCTTTGCATGTGCTGCAGCTTGAGGACCATGAGTACAAGCCACTGGACCCTAAAGACATCCGCCTGCCACCCCCGATGCCACCCAGTGAGAGGCTGCTGGCCGCCGTCGAGGCCTTCTATAGCCCCCCCTCCCACGACAGGCCCCGGAACAGGTATGGCAGGGGCAGGGCCAGGGAGGGGACAGCAACGCAGAGACAGCAAGTCCTCGGGGAGGTTTAATTCAGGTGTCGGAAAGAAGCGTGGTGCGGGCAGGCCAGAACTACCCTCCCCAGCCCAGCCAAAAGCTCCTGCCCCATAGCTGGTCGGGTCTGCCTCGGTCGCAGCTCCTCACTGCCCCATTAGGCTAAAGACAGGTCTCTGGTCATCTTGGCCCAGCAGCAATGTGGGGAAGGCAGGCTCGCCCTCAGCGCTTGAGTGGCTCCTGGCCCACAGTGGACTGCCAGCTGTCCCTGTCTCCTGACGGAGCCAGTCAGGGGAATGCCCTGTCTTACAGTGAAGGCTGGGAGCAAAATGGCCTCTATGAGTTCTTCCGAGCAAAGATGCGGGCCCGGCGGAGGAAAGGCCAGGAGAAGAGGAACAGGTGAGGTCCCAGGTCTTCTGGGGGAGGCCGTCACACCCACCCTGTCACATCCGTAGCACCACCTGTACCCCAGGATGAAGGGCCAGCGCCCAGGGCAGAGGAGGGGTGCTCTGCTCAGCCCTGACGCACCGCTCTCCCGCAGCGGGCCCTCAAGGTCGAGGAGCAGGTCCAAGAGCCGAGGGCGCTCGTCCTCCAGATCCAACTCGCGCTCCTCCAAGTCGTCCGGCTCCTACTCGCGCTCACGCTCCCGCTCCGGCTCCCGCTCCTACTCCCGCTCCCGGTCCAGGTAAGCGGGCACCGAGGGGCAGCTGGGGTGCGGGCCTGCCCAAGGCTGGTCCCGGCCGGCCGGCCGGCCTGTGAGTCACAGCCTTCTCTACTGTGCCAGGAGCCGGAGTCGGTCACGCTCCTCACGAAGCCGTTCCAGGTCCCGGTCCCGGTCCCGGTCCAAGTCCTACTCCCCAGGCAGGAGGCGGCGATCCCGGTCCCGGAGCCAAACCCCGCCGTAAGATTTCTGTTGTAGCTGTCCTCTGGTGCTCATTGCGGGCAGCTGTGAGTGGCAAACAGTGGGCATCAGAGGGCGCACGGGCTCCGGGTGGGGTGGCGATGGCATGCCGGTCACACCTCATTCACCAGCACTGAGCCCTGGTGGTGGTGGGGCTGCGTGTTCTCTGACTGTTGTAGGGGTGCCACGAGCTGGCCTCGGTGCCAAGTGTGGGCAGGGTTGTGCTGAGGCAGCCACGGGCTGGCAGAAGAGTGGCAGCGAGGACAGCGGCCGAGCCTGTGATGAGTGCGCGTCCACCGGTAACGGTGACGCCGGGTCCGCCACATGCTGTAACGTCCCAACTAATGGTGGCCGTGGCTTTGTGAACACCATGACCTGTCTTGGTTTTAGTTCCTCGGCTGGTCTGGGTTCTAACTCTGCACCGCCTGTCCCCGACCCCAGGCTCGGAGAGGAAAACAAGGGACACCAGATGCTGGTGAAGATGGGTAAGTCCCCGGCTGGCGGCGGGTGGGTGCTCTGGGAGGGGGACGTGCACACACACTGCCTGCGGGTCCTGACCCTGTGCCTGTCCTCCAGGCTGGAGCGGATCCGGTGGCCTCGGCGCGAAGGAGCAGGGCATCCAGGACCCCATCAAGGGCGGAGACGTGCGGGACAAGTGGGACCAGTACAAGGGCGTGGGCGTGGCGCTGGACGACCCCTACGAGAACTACCGCCGCAACAAGAGCTACTCCTTCATCGCCCGCATGAAGGCCAGGGACGAGTGCAAGTAGCCGCCGCCGTGGCCCTCAGCCACCGGGACCTTCCACTGAGAGGCAGTGGAAGCTTCCGGATGGTCCTGCCAGCCAGCTCTGACCCAGGCCTCGCCCACAGCCACCTTCGTGCAGGGGGACGTGCTGCAGGGCGACGCTGGCTTCTGGTTTTCCTTACAGTGAAGTGAGAAACCCCAGGCCGACGCTCCCGGGACACAGGCTTGAGGCCGCGCAGCTCCATCCCAGCTCAGTCTCGTGGACCAGCAGGCGTCCATCGGACCAGCAGCCCCAGCGGCCCGGGTGTCGCCCGCTTCCACCCCTGGCAGGGTGCAGTGACAGAGCCACGGCCCGCGCTCGCGTGCACCCGTTTAGAAAAGGAAGCCAAAGCTGAAGCGGGTGTTCGCGTTTTGTTCCCCGTGGCCTAGCGTCAGGAACAGCTCCTGTTCGGAGCCCGCTCCTCAGACACACGGCCTCATTTCTGTCTTCCCGTTGGGGAAGTCGCTGTGTTCTCAGAATGGCAGGGGGCTGTTGCCTGGGCAGCAGGCTCTGAGGAGTGGGCTTGGGATCCCCCAGGGCCTCTGCCTCAGCTCAGTACAGCTCTGTTTATTTGTACAGAACCATTTTTGGAAAATTCTTTTCACTAAGATGCAAAACCTTTCCAACTTTTGACCCCGATGGGATAGAACTTTTGATTTTGTTTTAGATTTTCCGTAGCTGTGAATAGTTTGGAAGTGTCTGGTTCAGGATAATACATAAATACGTGCTATTAACAATTTGTGGGTTTTACTGTTTTGCCTTCAAATAAAGATTTTTTTTTTTTTAAGAACGGACTTGTTACAGCCTGTGTGTTTCTCTGACGTGACACCGGCAGGTGAGGAGCGGGCGCCTTCTGTGGGCTGGAGTTTGGAGTCGGGTCAAGGGCACTGCCCTGGACTCGCAGCACTTGTGTCCCCCACAGGTAAATGCCCAGCCCGGTAGGCATGGCGGCCACACGACATAGCCGTGGCTGGGATCCTGCATGCAGGTTCCGGGCCTACGCTGCTCATGGGAGTGAGGGAACAAGGCGAGAATGCCTGCTTAGCCTATAAACGCACATGTCACGTGGGGTTGGGGCGGGCAACGTGAATGTGACAGGCCAGCCTCACCTCACACTCCAAGCTCCTTCTGCACCTCCTCCAGGGCGGCTTCCAGGGTCAGCGGGGCTGGCTTGTGGCACCGGATGTACTATGGAGGACGACAAACATGGCTGTCAGCCTGAGGATGGGGACAGAGCACCACTGTCACCTGACTGCTCCTAGGGACTGGGGAGGGACCCCAAATGGAACGGAACGTGCATTCGCTGTGACAAGTGAACCCTGGGCAAACCACAGCCTGGTCCTGACACCTGGCCACCCCATGGGTGTCAAGAGCTGTGCCCCACAGGCTTTTCATTGGATGTGTTTTTGGAAGCAAGTGACCGGACCTTTTTTTTTGAGGCCCCCCCCTGGGTGGGCTTGAACCTCCAACCTGTGGTGAGCAGTCACGGGTACCACTCGGCCTCTGAAGTGAGCAAACACACATGTACTTAACTGGGAGGAAAGGGAGATGCTCGTGGCACTCCTCGGGCCCTGTCCCCAGGGAGGGCAGGCACTGTGTCCAAGATGTCTCTCAGGCTGGGCCCCCGCTGGCCTGAGGTCACACAGTGCCCAGCCTGCCTGTAGCCCAGGCCCACTGAGCATTCGGTGCCCGCCCCCATGCCCAAGGGCTTTGCCGTCACCTCCTTGGCCTCCTCCAGAGTGTGGTAGTGGAACGAATCCTGGTCCAGGGAAGCCAGGAGCGAGGCGTGCAAGTGGCGGTTGGCTTCCAGGAAGTGCTGCGTCAGGGCCAGCTGTTGCCTCAGCAGGTCGTTCAGCACCAGCATGGCAGGGCTGTGGGCTGTCAGGGCTGCACAACCCCCCATGTCACTCGGGCCCCGGGCCCCTGCCGCACCCACCGCTCCTCCTGGCCACCCGTCCTGCAGTGCCTACACGTGCTCTGGACCCCACCCTCTTGTACCCATCCTCTCTGGAGAAAGGTGGCTCCCCAAGAGCTGACATGGCACCCAGCTGCTGCTGGCCAGAGTCGGCAGCACTGACCTGACTCCAGCATCTTACAGAACTCCAAGGGGCCAAGGGAAACGGCGCCCTGGGATTTTCCCATGCTGCCAGACCTTTCTTCCGAGGTACCTCTGCATTTACCTTTGTTTACCCTTTAAGCCACCCAAACCCAAATAGCCACACCCACTGCCAGTGAGGCAGCCCAACTAGGGAAGAACTGCCCCAAGGGGGTTCTCACAGCTGTAAGCCACCTCTGTGGACTCCTGGGGGCCCTCGCCCTCTGACCGTAGTGCTGAATTGCTGCCCCACCAGTCCCACTTTAACCCCCGGGGGCTCTTTCATAGAGATGGGACTTTGTACATGGACAGAGACATGTACTAAGAAGCCTGGCAGACTGGGTTTCTGGGGTGGAGGGAGACCTTCACCCTTGTGAATTGGAGACGAGTCCCAATCACATTCTCATGATGCATATTGTTCCTCACTCTATCCTCCCAGAATAGCGCTGCCTTAAAGTTACCCCTTACAAGCACACGGCTGACTTGCTGTGTAGCCGGCAGCTTTATAGGAGCACACGCGTGCTACTGCTCTCCAGGCTCTGAAGACAGTCACTCCCCCTTACCTGCCCGGGCACTGGTGTTAGGTTAACTCCTCCAATGAACTCAGGAACCTTCAGGGTTAGGGTGGGGCTTGCACGCTCCCTGAATGTATACAAGCCTTGGCTGGAAATATATTCTCTTTCTGTGCGGACTTGGCTCCTGAAGTCATGGTGGTCCCGGAGGTGAGCACTTGTGTGCCTTATCTTGTCTGGTGTCTCCTTAATTCTACCTCTCAATTGCTCAATGGCCCCTTGGGCCCATTTGATTGTGGGGGCTGGTACCCCACAAAATCCCACACCAAACCTGCTGTCATGAGTCAGGCCCCCCCTCCCCAACTCCTGTTACAGGGTGGGGCTGCTCCTGGGGGCTTTCGCGGCTGTAATCTTCATGGGAGCAGGTTGCCAGCCTTTCTCCCCGCAGCGACCCTCCTTGGATTCAAGGTTGGGGGGTGAGCACGAACGGTTTGCTCAGTCAGGACTCTTACTAGGACACTTGGTGGCAGGATGGGTTACACGCCGGGCTGCTTACCACAAAGTCAGCCGTTCAAAACCACCAGCCGCTCTGCAGGAGAACCGTGAGGCTCTCTGCTCCCCTGCAGTTACCGTCTCGGAACCCACGGGGGCGTTCTGCCCTGCCCTACAGGGTTGCCGGGAGTCGGAATCGGCTCAGCAGTGAGAGCTGAGGGCTCTTTGTGCAAATATACTGAGCACAACTGGAAAGGAAAAAACCTTGTGACGAGACAGGAGAGGGACAGTCTGTGGTGGGCGTGTGCCAAGCCCGCCGCAGGGGCTCGATGGCGAATCCGGCAAAGTCCAAATACTCGTGGGGTGCCCTCCCTGTGACCCAGGCCTGGTGGGCAAGGGCCATGTCCAGCTGTCCGTGGCTGGGACATTCCTGGTAGCGTACATATCGATAGGAGAAGGGAGGCAGACCAGAACCCAACACACCCAGTGGCCGGTGGGGGCTCGGGCTCACTGGTGCACCTCTGACCGTGGCCAGGGACACGCCAGGCTGTTGCCAGGTCCCTGTGAACTGTGTGACTGCCCCGGTGTTCCCCGAGTCAGGCACTTAAGGGGTGCGACACCCCCACGAGTGCACACAGCTTGGAATGGCCCTTGCATCGCTGCCTTGAGGCAGGTCCTTACCTTCTATTGAGTCTGCGCTAACCACATGGCTGGCAATGGGCGTGGGGTCCACGTAGGTGCCTCCCCAGGCAGGACTGATGGCTGCCGCCCCGGCCGCTGGTCAGGGACAGAAGGGGTGGTCAGTGGACAGGGCATGGAGCTGAAGGACGTCTCACCTATGATCTTACCCAAAAGCAGGTCTGAGGAGGGTGCCCTCTGCCCTCCCTGGCCCCACAACCGCGCTTCCTGTCGCCTCTTCCTCTTTTCTTGTTGCTCCCAGATTTCCCAGGCTCAGTGGAGTGTGACCGCCCAGTGGGTGGGCCTGTGGCCCCCAATGCAGCAGTCTCTGCAAGCCATGTCCCCCGAGGCTACTCCGTTGCCATCAAGCCCACCCTCTCCGTGGTGACCCCATGTGGACCGCAGCACAGGGGTTTGGCTGCAATCCTGGTGCCAGCAGGTGGCTGGCCTTTTCTCCCACCGTGCCTGGCCCGCAGTCACCCAGCAGGCCAGTGGTCAGGCCCAGACCTGCCTGGCTGCCTTTCCCTCTCACCTCTTGACAGCAGGCCTCACTTGGGAAGCCAGCATCACGGGAGGTTTGTGATAGAGGAAGTTGTAAACACATGGCTTGAATGCTGGGAAGGCTAAGAAGCGCCAAGCGTAGAGGTGGGGGTGTAGGGCAGCGGGGTGTGGAGCAGGACCCTCACGTGGGGTCAGCTGAGAGCTGGGGGCCGCAGCCGCACAGACACCCACTCACCCTCGGCCCAGCGGTAAGTAAAGGCAGGATCAGGGGTCTGCACAGCCATCTCCTTCACGTTCACTCTGGTCACACCCTGGACCCGCTTTCTGCTGGCCTGGGGACGCTGCGCGAGCTGGCTCCTTCCCTCGCTCCAAGAGGGCTCCTCCGAAAGGGCTTCCGATGTCTCGGAGCAGCCTGTGGGCTGGGAGGGGGCTGCGCCTGGCGAGGCCTCAAAGTCGTCTGAGTAGGCTGAGCTCACGGTGCTTGCTGAGGGGTCTTGGGATGCACCCCCTGACTCAGCGCTCAGACGCTCAGAGACCTCACTCTCAGTGGGGGGGGCCTCCTCACCGTCCAAGGGCACTGCGCTCCAGGCCTGGGTGCGTCGTGGGGGCCCCTGTCCAGTGGGCCCTTCTGGCCCTGGGCCTGGGCGGGCCGGGCTTTCCCGCCGAGCACGTTCTCCCTAAAATAGAGGGGCCCAGGTGGGACGAGGAGTGTGCTCACTGGGCCTTGTAGTCTGCAAGGCCAGGGCGCCTGGCCACCCTGCGGAGGTGGGGGCAGCAGGCGTCACTCGTGGGACAGGCCCAGAGTCCTGTGGACAGGCACCGCACACGACCACAAGGGTACCTGCGTGGTCAGGCGGCCCAAGGACCACCTGGTGCCTTTCACCACACGTGTGTGTGACAGTGCAGTGCAGGGTGGCCGCACCCAGGAACGCCCCAGCACCCCGAGGAGCAGGTGCACCCCCAGGTCAGCAGTGCCCCTGGGGAGCTCCAGGTATCGCTGGGCTCCTCAAGGGAGCTGCTGTGCTCACCATGCTCAGCTACTAATCTAACAGCTGGCGGTTCAAGCCCACGGCCACTCTGTAGAGAGAGGTGGCGGTCTTTCCTGTAAAGACCATAGCCTAGGAGACCCTGTGGGGTGGCTCTGCTCTATCCTAGAGTGTGGCTCTGCATCCGATCCGCTTAGGGGGTTGGGAGTAAATGGGTGGATGATGGGGAGGGGGTGGGGGTGGATGGAGGGGGTTTGGGATGGACGATGGGGGTGTGGATGGACGGATTGGGGGGGGGTTGGTTGACAGATGGGTGGGTGGCGGGGGCGCTAAGTGGATGGACGGACGGCTAGGCAAGCAGGCAGGTGAACAGACACACAGTAGACAGGCAGGCAGGGTCTCTCGGACTAAAGCAGCTTCTCAGCTCCCATGTGTTTCTAGATCATTCTCGGGGGCGGGGCCCTCATGTCACTGTAGGGTGTTGGGGAGCCCCCTGCCTCCATCTACCACATGCCAGAAGCAAGCTCTCCCCCAGGTGTGACCACCACAACTGTCCCCAGGGGAGGGTCGCAGGCCTTTCTGGGAGCCCACTACCCGGGGAGGGCACCGTACTCACATCCTCAATCAGGCTCGCCTCCTCACCCAGGGCCAGGGCCAAGTCCTCCAGGGGAAGGATGTTGATCCGGAAATCTGCAACAAGGGGCCGGGTGAGGGCAGCGGACAAGGACGGGCTATGCCCACTGAGCTGGCCCGGGCCTGAGCGCCAGAGTCCACACACGTTCTCTGTGAAGGACCAGAGGGGTCAGTCAGGAGGCTGTCTCCGCAGGACCCCTCTGCCCTGGACAACTTTCTCATTCTCAGACAGGCGGCTTGGTCCAGGCAGAGGGTCAGAGAGGCTGGGGGAAGTGTGGTGACCGGCCCTTCCATGGCAGGGTGCTCTACTTCTCCGGTGGCCTTGAAAATTCACAGCCATGGCCACACAGGGGGTACAGGCCATACTCCATCCTCTCGGGACAGAGTTTATTTGTGAAGTAAAGGCACAATGAGTCAGGGTCAGGGGTCAGGAGGCGCGTGAGCATGGGCAGTCTCCCTCCTTTAGCACAGAGCACCTCTCTCTACAGGCAGGATTCCTCTTGGGGCCCTGAGCCGGGTCTCTGCTCCACTCTAGAGAGTGTTACAAAGCCCTGCTAATAATGTGCCTGGAGGAAGCCTACTCCGCCAGCAAGCCCCCTGCAGCAAAGGGGCCCTGTTCTCTCTCATTCTTTGGGGCACCCACTATAACGGCATCTCTTGGTGTGCCAGGAAACCCACCACAGCTACCGGGCACTGGTCTCCCGATTCTGCTGCCCCTGCCTCTCTGCTGCCGGACTCCAACTTGCGTGTTGCCGCTTCTCTTGTCTCTGCTATCCCATCTCTAGCCTGTGTCTAGGAGGTGCTCTGAGCAGAGACCCTGGGTTCAAAAGAGCTGCTCCATCCCTGGTTCCGGGTTCTGGGTGGCAGTGAGGTTTCCTCTTCCCGCTCTGGGAGGCTCATTTGAAGCTCATTGGTAAGCACACCTTACCACCCCCAAATTGAGGCTCCACACTCCTATTTATGTAGCCCCACCCTGCTGAGTTTCATCACTTTATTTGCATGATTGGCCACGATGTCCAATCCCCTAGGTGGGCCACAGAACCTTTCTTTTTTTGTAAATCACTTTATTGGTGAGATAAAGTTTATTGTGCCAACCTGGCTGAGAAACACATATGGGGTTAAGTGAAGGGCGGAGAGATACATGGCTCATTGTGTCTCGCCTTTCTAGTTCTCCAGTCTCTTGCTTTCTGATGGTCGGCCCTGGGTGCCTTAGCCAGTTCCCTGCTTCAGCTCACTTCCTGCAAGACATCCCTAAGAAGAAGCCACATGGACCTACCCCAATGCAGCCCTGGGTGCTGGAGCACCCATGTGGAGACCCCTGCCGGCGATGAGATGCTTACACGTTCACGACTCGGCTTTCCTCCTGCAGTCGGCATCATAGGGTGTGTTTTGTGAGATAGAGGAGGACTTTGTGGATTGGTGTTGGACATATGGGTTAATGTTGGACTTGTGGGCTTGGGCAGCACTGGGTTGGGATGTTTTCTTGATGTGCACTTACCCTTAATATAAAACTCTCTCTTATACATGAGTTTCTGTGGATTTGTTTCTCTAATGTACCCAGACTCACACAATTGGGGGCTCTTACAGCTCTTACCACGATCCGTACTCACATCCATTGTGTCGAGCACATTTGTACATTTGTTGCCATCATCATTCTCAAAGTGTTTTCGTTCTACTTGAGCCCCTCCACACAATCACTTTGTAGATGGCACAAGACCGTGGTGAGGAAGGCCTTAGAAAAGCACTCCCCGCAGTGCCTCTCCCTCCCCCCTGTACCCCCAACGCTCCCTAAACCAGGTCAGTGCCGGCACCCCAACACCAGGACTTTCAGCTCCATCTCTGACTATCATTGCAGTTCACGGGGCAGGGGGCGGGGGAGGTACAGAGGTGAGGAGACAAAGCCTCTGGGGTGAGTCACTACGCCCAGCCAGGGCCAAGGCAGTGGGGAAGGTTCTAGACCGCCGCTCTGAGCTATGGTGGCTGAGGAGCAGAACACCAGCGCTGTGCTGGCCAGCCCAGCGGTGCCACTCCGACTGTGGGCCCTGGCTTGTGAGGACTGCCCCTTGGTTGCCCAGCTGGGGCCGAGCTTGCTCTGGGGGTATGCTCTGCCCCCATCCCCCAAGGAACGGGCGGCAGCAGCAGGCCAGCGAGCCCGAGGCTGCCCAGCCAACCGTGGTCATGCTTGGCAGCTGCTGGCACCCCATGTGGACTCATGCCAAGCCCCTGGTGCAGACAGTCAGACTGCTCCGCAGGGGGCTCTAGGCTGGGAGCTCACGGGAAAAGGAGCCCTGTTGGCCGGGTGGTTGAAGCTGCTTGCTGAGAGCTGGGCGGTTTGCAGGACCAGCTGCCTTGGAAGAAGGACCATGGGGCAGTCCTGCCCTGTGCCACCAGGGTGACTCACAACACTCACTGCCATCGGGTCAATGCTGGCTCATAGCAATCCGAGACTGGAAACCCGACGGAGTAGAAAGCCTCATCTTGCTCCCACAGAGCTCTTGGTGGTTTCCAACCGCGGACCATGCTAACTCCTAACGCACCAACCACCTAGGATCCTCCTCGCACAGGCTCCCCGAGAGCCGGAAATGGCTCCTCAAACCACCACCGCTGCCTTCCCAGAAGGCGTTTTCCCCAGGGAGCCTCGGCCGGGGAGGATTCCCGCGGTCCTGGGGAGCGCCAAGCAGCTCGCTGCCCCTGACGGGACGAGGGCCGTGTTGAGACTCGAAGGCATGTTTCCATCTGGACTCGTTAGGATCTTGGGTTTCTTCTTCTGCGTTTCAGAGCGGGCACATACTGCTTTTACTCAAAATTTGAAAAGGGCTTTTTCCAGGTTACCAAACCAAACCCATTGCTGCCAACTGGTTTCGGACTCAGGGTGACCCCGTGGGTGCTCAGCACCATGACCTTGGGGTTGGATGGCCAGACTTGCCTTCTCAGGAGCTCCTAGGTGGGCGTTAGGCCGGTGGTTGCATGCTTAACCATTGTGCCCCTCGTCGTTCCTAGGGGTTCATGCCCTGGCATGGGTCAGAGTTCCTGGACAAAGATTTTAAGGGCAGGGCACAAGTCCTTCCTGTCTCCTCAGCCAGGGCAGCGGGTTGAAGAACTGGGGTGTGACCAGGCTGCCACTCTCTCGAAGGGGGGCCACCCCACAGCCTTGCCAGCCCCCACTCTGTGCGCCACACCGGGGCTTACCGTTCAGGCTGTCATCGGTGGTCTCTGACGACCCCTCAGAGGGCCCAGCCTCACTCCTTCTGGGGGAGGACGGGAGTGTGGGGCGGCGCCTCATTCTCGGGGGACCCGGCCTAGACGCAGGGCCTGTGACCGACAGCCCTGATGTGCGGGAGGCTGTCCAGCTGGGACTGGGGGTCTGTGGGGAGGACGTTCTGGAGCGGATCCGGGGCGGGGTCCTGCTGGCTGACCGCGTGGATGGTGGCCGTGGCTTCCGGAATGGCGTGGGGCTGGGAAGCTCCTCCCCAGAAAGGGAGGGGCCTGCCGGCCCTGCTGTGACTGGGACCTGACGTGACTGTGCCGGAAATGAAAAACAACAGCATTACAAACATGGGAGAACCGGGTCCTTACCAGGCCACACGCAGAGCTGGGGCGGGTGACCCAGGCCGCCGAGACAGAGCTGCCCCCTCGCCCTCTTCTCCCCTCATGGCTGCAAGCCGAGGTAGTGGATTTCCATGACCTCCAGTTTGAAGATGGGAAGGAGATCCCTCAGTCCTTTCCCTCATTGGTAGTAAACCCACCTAGGTTCTGAGGGAGAGGCCTGGGGTGCAAATGGTTTCTGGGTCACCAGATCAGGTCCACCCTCAGGTACCTTGGAAGAAAGGCCTGGCTATCCACTCTGGCTTCTACGGTGCCGTTGAAACCCCCGCAGAGCAGCCCTGCACAGACACGTGTGGGACCGCCCGGAGTCGTCAGAGGTAACTGGGCATGGACAGGCTTCCTGGCTGTGACCTGGAGGGACCTTGGGAGAAGGACATAGAAACGTACCGAGGGGACTTGTGCTTGACTCGTCCCACGGGCGTCCGTGCTGGGGACACCTCGAATCCTCCGCCTCCCTTCCTCCCCGGAGGACTCCAACAAGCTTCCCAGCAGCTCCCTCATCTCCTCTTCATCGCTGTCGGGCGCGACCAAGGGCCTGGCAGGTGCCCGCAGCAGCGTGGGTGCTGGAGGAGCCCGCTCTTCCCCCAGGCGGGCTGCAGGGGTGGTGGGCTCCTCGGCGGGGGGCTCTTTCTTCTTGAGGAACCGGCTGCCCGGCCCCCCGCTCTGTGCCCGGCCGTATCTCTGCAAGACTTTGCCCGTGGCCTGGGAGGAGAGTTCAGCCAGAGCCCTGGCCCCCGTTGCCAGGCTGGCCTCAGGGATCTGCGGGTCAGGTCCGGCGTCAGACGGACCCCGCTGCGCCTTTCGGCTCCGGAACTTGGTCTCCAGCTGGGCCAGTTTCAGGAGGGCGGCGCTGGCCCGAGTCTGGGAGGTGGAGGTGGGGGGCCTGAGGCCACCCCCCAGGAAGGGGCTCTCCTTCGGCATCAGGTGCCTCTCCCCCAGGGCCTGGTTTCTTTTCAGGAACCGGCTCGGACTGGCTGCTATTTCGCTAAGACCCCGGCTGGTTTGGGAGTTTCGGATTGCTTCCATTCTTGACTCGTCTGAGGAAATGTCGCTGAAGTCGCCAAACGGGTTGTACGCCATGCGGCTGCCTTTTCTCGGGGATGCCATTCTGGGGAGGAAACACCAAGGCTGTTTGCAGCCGGCCTTTGGTTCCCTCCAAGGTCACAATGCCAGGGGTCCTGCCCCCAGGTGGTCTGCCCTTGGCCACCCCCGAAGCCACTGATGAGGACCAGAGTGCTTTGCATGTTGCGAGGACGTTGAACAGGTGTCAGCAGAGCCTCCAAACCCAGAGACCAGGAAGAAAGGCCTGGCCATTGCTCAAGCTGTCTGTCGCTCTCCCAGTGACGACCCTATAAGGTACTGCCCCTGTGGGTTGCCTAGACCGTGAATCTTTTTTTTTTTTAAATCATTTTATTAGGGGCTCATACAACTCTTATCACAGTCCATACACACATCAATTGTGTAAGCACAATTGTACATTCACTGCCCTCATCATTCTCAAAACATTTGCTCTCCACTTAAGCCCCCGGCATTAGGTCCTCATTTTTCCCCTCCCTCCCCGCTCCCCCCTCCCTCATGAGCCCTTGATAATTTATAAATTGTTATTTTGTCATATCTTGCCCTGTCCGACGTCTCCCTTCACCCACTTTTCGGTTGTCAGTCCCCCAGGGAGGAGGTCACATATAGTTCCTTATAATCAGTTCCCTCTTTCCAACCCATTCTCCCTCTACCCTCCCAGTATTGACCTAGGCTGTGAATCTTTATGGGAGTAGAAAGCCTCCTCTTTCTCCCAAGGAGCAGCTGGTGGTTTCAAACTGCTGACCTTGCAGCCAGCCCCTTAAGGAGCCACTAGGGCTCCTCTGTAGGGCAAAGGGGTCCTGAAAATCAGTCAGCGAAAACCCCGTGGGGCATGAGGTTGTGCTCCACATGGCCCCTGGTGCAGGGTTTGGTGGTGCTGAGCGAACACCAGAGCCAGCACTAACCGATCACCAGGCATTAAACACGGCTCTGTCAGCATGGGGAGCGGGCCCCTCCAGGGTTGGGAGCTGCGGTGCCCTCCCTCCTATCTCTTCCTCACAGCGCTTGTGAGCCGGTTACCGTCCTGGGACTCAGCTGGGGGCCTGACGTGGCTGTGTGCCATCAGGAGGACCCTAACGGGTGACGACCCAGGTGACCGAGTGGAACTGCACCCCATGGTTTCCCGGGCTGGGATCTTGCAAGAGCAGAATGCCAGCTCTTGGGCCTCGGAGCCTCCAGTGGGTTCGCCCTCTGGCCTGTGTCCCCTGGGCGCCTGGGCTGGGGAGCACTCCCACAGCCACCTGGCCCATCCTGACACATCCCCCAACTGCCAAACTGGCTGCCTCGGGCAGAGCAGAGCTGCTCCTGCGGTCCCGAGACTGTCGCTGGTGAAGGGGGTGGAGAGCCTGGTCTTTCCCCTGCAGAAGGGCTGGTGGTTCGGACCTGCTGGCTTTGCTGTGGGCAGGTCCCTGTGGAACGCCCTCTGCCACCGGGCTTGCTCCCTTCCAACTCTGAATAGAGTTGACAGAGACTGTAGAGCAGCCGTTCTCCTTCTCAACCTGTGGGTCGTGACCCCTTTGGGGGTGGAATGATCCTTTCACAGGGGTCGCCTGGTTCAGGACAAAATGAGTGATGAAGTGGCAACAAAAATAATTTTATTTTAGTTGGGGGGGGGGCACCACCCCATGAGGAACAGTATGAAAGGGTCACAGCATGAGGAAGGTGGAGAGCCACTGCTGTATGGAGTTTCCGAGGCTGACAGCCCTCTCTTTCTCCTGGGGAGCAGCTGGTGGGTTTGAACCGCTGACCTTATGATCAGTCGTGGCCAGGGCGGCGCAGATGGAGCCCTGGTGGCACAGTGGCTATTCATTGGGCTGTGATCCGCGTGGTTGGCAGTTTGGGGTCGGCAGTTCAAAACCAGCAGCAGCTCCACAGAAGACAGACTAGGATCGCTACTCTCGTAAACCCACAGGGGACACTGGAAGTCAGCACTGACTCGATGGCATGGAGGTGGGAGGAGCAGGGCCCCTTTAAAGGTCACTCCTGGTCCTGAAGACCACACAGACAGGCTGTGCTTCTGATCTCACCTGACAGTCGCTGTGCCCTGCTGAGCCCTGCTCCCAGCGGCACCCCTACGTCCACATCAGCTCACCCACAACCAGCGGTGGGAACGTTATTCTACTGAGAGGAGGAGGAGGATTACTGCTCAGGGGAGGCCTGTGGGCAGACACAGCATCCTGCCCCCCAACATGTTTGTGACGTACTGCCTGGACAGACAGGGTGCCTTTTCTGGGAAGGCACACGTGCACATCCATCAGATCTGGACTCCCTGGTGACGCACACCAGCTGCTGCAAGATTGACCATGTTTCCAAAAGACATCAGCGACTTGAGAAGATTTTTTAAAACATCCTAAAACTGATTGTGGTGAACATCGTACAAGTCTTCTTGATGTGAATTGTGTGACATGTGAACTACAGGCTAATAAAACCGTTGAAGAAAAAAGATTTTAAAATAAAATCAGCGTGTGATCAGGTATCAGGCATCAGAGAACAAAAAATCCTATCACTGTGAGGGGGAGTGCGGAGTGGAGACCCAAAGCCCATGTGTAGGCAACTGGACATCCCCTTATGGAAGGGTTGCAGGGAGGAGCCGAGCCAGTCAGGGTGCAGGGAAGCAATGAAGAAACATAACAATTTTCCTCTAGTTATTTAATGCTTCCTACCCCCACCCCACCCCACACTATCATGATCCCAATTCTACCTTACGAGTCTGGCTAGACTAGAGGATGTACACTGGTACAGATAGGAACCAGAAACACAGGGAATCCAGGACAGATGATCCCTTCAGGACCATAGTGAGAGTGGCAATACCAGGAGGGTGGAGGGAAGGTAGGGTAGGAAGGGGGACCGATCACAAGGATCTACATATAACCCCCTCCCTGGGGGATGGGCAATGGAAAACTGGGTGAAGGGAGACGTCGGACAGTGTAAGACATGACAAAATAATAATAATTTATAAATTATCAAGCGTTCGTGAGGGAGGGAGGGAAAAAATGAGGAGCTCATACCAAGGGCTCAAGTAGAACGAGGATGTTTTGAGAATGATGATGGCAACAAATGCCCAAATGTGCTTGACACAATGGATGGATTGTGATAAGAGTTGTACGAGCCCCCAACAAAATGATTTAAAAACAAAACAAAAAAGCACAGCATGTGTGGGAGCGTGTGCTGTGGCCCCTCCGTGCTGCCATTCAACAATCCACATGCTCACTCAGAGATTCCCTACCTAGGAATTCACCTGCAATCACACTCTCAAAGATGCACGGCCAAACATATGCCCCACGAGAGTCCTATCGCCAAAATACAAGATGCCTCTACAACTTCCCATCCAAAAGACAAACAACCCAATCAGAACAACGGGCGGGGGCTGGAATGGACCTTTCACCGAAGAGGACAGACGGGCCAAGGCCAAAGTGCTCACCCTCACAAGCCAGTCAACTCTCAAAGCCCACCTCACTGCTGTGGAGTCAATTCTGCCTCACAGTCACCCTACGGGGCGGGCTGAACTGCCCCTGTGGGTTTCCAAGGCTGCACACCTTTAAAGGAGCAGAAAGCCTCGCCTGTCTTCCTAAGAGCGCCAGGCGGTTCGGAACCTGTGACCTTGTGGTTAGCGGCCCAACAGGTAACCCACTACACCACCAGGGCGCCCGTGATTGACTAGCAGGGAGATGCAAATCAAAACCACAAGGAGATACCACCTCGCTCCTGGAGAGGAGTGATGTTAAAAAACAAAAACAGGGAGGAAGGCGATGGAGTGGAGGCGCTGGAAGCTCCTGGCTTGCTGCCCCCACCGTGGGAAACAGCTTGTAGTTGCTTCAAAAAGTTGACCCCAAACTCCCACATCTCACTGCCATCGGCTTGACCCTGGAGGACAGAGGAGAACTGCCCCTGGGGGGTTCCGAGGCCGTTAGCCTTTCCAGAAGCAAAGGCCTCATCATGGGGGGCTCAGACTGCTGACCTTGTGGCTAGCAGCCCAAGGCACAGCCCACTGTGCCACCAGAGCTCCACAAACCACCAGGCGACCCACTCCAAGGTGCAGGAAGGGGCTTCACAAAGAGCTTATGGAAAGAGAATGGAGAACTGGTGAGGTCCGTGAGATCAACACAGACCGTGGAAAACTAACCCCCCAAACTCCAAAAAACTCACTCACCACCGGCAAGTTTATTCCAAGTCATGGTGACCCTACAGCGACGAGACAGCCATTACAAAGGATCTAGGGATCATTTCTCTGGGTCTAAACAGTCAACACTTACCCTAAAGCAAGGGGGACAGGGACAGTCGATGAATGAAGACAGAACAGAGGGGAGGATGTCGACCATTGTGAGAAACACAGCCAATGTCACTGAGTAAGATGCATAGAGACTGTTACATGGGAACCTCATTTGTTGTTCGCCAAAAGCACAATGTCTTTTGGAAAAGGAAAGGAAGAGAGAAAGAGAGAGAAAGGAAGGAAGAAAAATTAGTTCTCAAAAATTTCAACATGTGACCCGGCAATTCCACTCCTTGGTATACCAAGGGTCTTCAACAAGTTTGTGGAACATCCCATTATCGTTTAATTCCATTTGTCCATGAACTTCTGGAAGCGCCCTTGTATACCTAAGAAAACCAAAATATATCTACACAAAGACTGGCATGCAAATGCTAATAGCTAGTATCTTAACACACCAAAAATGGAGACAACACAAACATTCATTGACCGATGAGTGAGAAGCAAACTGTGGTCCAGCCCTACAGTGGATTACTACCCAGCCATTAAAAAAAACAAACCAGGAACAATTAAAGAGACATGCAACCACATGTATGAATCTCAAGCATATCATGGTAAGGGGAATACAGGCAGATGGAGAAGGCCACATAGTGGCCGATGATTCTATGTCATGTTCTGATCAGGCCAATCCAGCCGGAGACAGAACCAGAACAGAGACGGAAGGCGTCTTTCTTGGGGCAATGGGAATGTCTGAAGTTTGAAGTGCAGTGATGGGCTGGCCACCTTGGTGAATTAACCACAAACCTCTGCATCCGTACCTTTAAAGGGAGTCCCTGGGTGGTGTGAAAAGTGAAAGTGCTCAAAGGCTGGTGGTTCCACAGCCCACCCAGGGGCGCGTGGGAGAGAGGCCGGGCGACCCACTTCTGAAACATCTATCATGACGCTTCCAGGGGCAGGAGTGATTCTAGGACAGCTGCTACAGGTCCATTTAAAACTCAGTGAAGTTATCCAAAGCAAACAAAACTTTGAAGAACGGCCACTCCTCGCACCAACCCTGGCTCTTCCCCAAGACTCTGGATGCAACCATGCATCAGATCACGCTCCGGCGGGGCCCAGACAACGACACTGAGCCTCGGGTCCCCCGGACCCCCCAGCCCCGCAACCTCCCCGCCGCGTGGTCCTACCAACGCAGCTTCCAACAGCACCCTCCCAGTCACTCTGCAGAGCCCATCCCCGCCCCTCCACCCGCCGATCAGCCCCTCCGACCTCCTCCCAAGTTGTCAGCAGCCGCGGCGTTCACACCAGCCCCAGGCCCGAGGGGGACTGTTGCCCAGGCAACCGCGCAGGGGCGGAAAGACTACATCTCCCAGCTCGCACTGCGCTCCGAAGACCAAAGCCGCGGCAGGTCACAATCGCGAAGCATCACGGGAGCGGTAGTTCTGAGGTGGGTCCGGCGTGCATCTCACGCAAGCACGCAATGGTGCTTCAGGTCACAATCGCAGGGCCTGCCGGGAGTTGTAGTTTTTAGGCGAGGCGGCGCGCTACGCGAAGACAGAGGGGAGCGAGGGGAAGCGGTTGAAGTGGAGCAGCGCATCTTCCATGGCGGCGACTAAAGTCCCGCTGTGGGCGATCTGCTTGCTGCGGGTGGTGCTGGCCACGGTCTACTTCCAGGAGGAGTTTTTAGACGGAGGTGAAAGGGGCCACGAGGACTCCCACCTCTCTGTCCTACGGGCCACGGAGCAACCTTTGACTACACACACCCCTTGCTGTGGGCTTGAGGGCGGTGAAGGCTGGAAGCTTCGGAACTTGAAGGCCATCCACATCCTCCCCGTGACCCAGCCTAACAGTTTAACCCTGACCGGTGTCGTTTACCCCCACAGAGCGTTGGCGGAATCGATGGGTGCATTCCACTAATGACACCCACTTCGGGCATTTTCGACTCTCGTCGGGGAAGTTTTATGGTCACAAGGAGAAGGACAAAGGTTAGTGTAGGAATCAGGAGGAAGTAGAGCTCAATGCTAAGGCTCCTAGCCACCTGGCCAGGTAGGTGTGGGGACAACCCAACACCTGCCGCACCCATTTTACAAGTGAGAAAAGGAAAACAGGTAGAGGGTCTCTAAAACGTGCCCCCCCCCCCCTTTTCTGAGCACTTGATAGTTGCTATCCTGTCGATTACGACTGACAGCAACCCTATGTGACAAAGCAGAGCTGTCTCACAGGCTTTCAGGGCAAGGAGTCTGTGTAGAAGCTGATGGCCGGGTCTGCTGCCCACAGAGGTCTGTGAGGTGTCAAACTGGCAACCTTGCTGTTGGCCACGAGGTGCTTGACGGTTCAGCCATTTTCAGGAGCGCCAGGAGGCAGAATCAACCAGCATCTAGCAAGAGCAGTCAGCTTGACTGCTTGGGTGGTCCAGATGGTTAAGTGTTGACTACTAACCAAAGGGTTGATGGTTCAAAGCTACCTAGAGTTGCCCAAGAAGAAAGGCCTGGAGGTCTTCCAAAGGTCACAGTCACTGAAAACCTTGCTTCAACACATGGAATCAACAGGAGTCAGGACCACCTTCAGCTATCAGTTAGGATTGTGTTGCTGGAACGATGCAAGTGGTTAAGGTCTAGACTGCTAACTGCAGCCTCGGCCCTTTGAAGCCACTCTGAGGTGCCTCTGAAGAAAGGCCTGGCAGTCGACTGCCCTCAAAATAACTGGTGAGAACCCTGTGAGCCCCAGATCCATGCGGGCACACAGGAGGTCATCACCAGCCATGGAGTCAACAGCAACTGAGCTCTGGGGATTTTCATTCCATTTGGTTAATTCCCCTGAGTTATTTGCCTTCTCCCACCCTCACCCCCACCCAACACACAATCATTTTTCTTCCTCTCATTTGGAATCCCCAGTCTGTGCATTTCACTCATCTACTCAATGGCAGGGCGTATGTTTTGTTTTGTTTTAACAGTTGTGTTGGCATTTAATTCCCATATCACACCATTCAATCGAGGGTTGTTTTTTTTGCTTTTCCTGGTCTCCCAATACCATAGCAGGGAAGCCCCGGGATCAAAGCAGAATTAGAATGTAACCACCACGAGATGATCCCTCTGCCGCCCAAGTCGATTCTGACGGGTAGCAGCCCTACAGGACGGGGTAGCACTGCCCTGTGGGCTTCTGAGCCTGAGTCTTCGTGGGGGTAGAAAGCCCGTCTTTCTCCTACGGAGAGGCTGGTGGTTTGGGACTGCTGACCTTGCAGAGGGTGTTGAGAAAAGGTGTCAGCAGAGTGGGGCAGACACCAAGGGAGGGAAAGCCTTGGGGATTGGCTGGATGTGGGAGCTAAGGGAGAGGGAGGATGGGAAGAGAAAGGGGCAGAGGGGAAGAAGGGTGTGGTCAAATGGGGCAGTTATCAGTGCAGGCTTGGGCAGACTGATCCCTGGCTGGCACACCTACCCAGCAACTTTCAAGTCACCCCCACCCCCAACTCTCAGGGACCCCCCTGCGCAACAGCACAAAAATGTTTCCGGGACCTGAGCCAACCCCAAGGTAGCTGTAGATTGAACTGTTAGGATCCATAGCATTTCCATGAGCTCATTTTCGCAAGTCAGTCTCCAGGCCTTTCTTCCTAGTCTGCCTTAGTTGGAAGCCCGGCTGAAACCTGGCCAGCGTCCTAGCACCCTGCCAGCCTCCACGGGCAGTTGGGTGGTGGGTGCTTCTGCGGTAGATTGGCTGGGAATGGAACCCAGGTCTCCTGTGTGTAAGGCATGAGTTGTACCGCTGAGCCCCCTCCCCCACAAACCCGCCACGGTGCTGTATGACACACACGATCTGCTGGCTGCGTGTTATCTTGTCACACTGTGCGGGAACAGGTATGGTGCTGTGGAAGAAAGGCCTGGCGATCTGCTTCTGTGGAGAATACAACCCAGGAAACCCTACGGAGGAGTTCTACTCTGTCACACCTGGGGGGTTGTCACTAATTGGGATCCATTGGTCAGCGATGAGGGGGGGTGGAGGGGAGCGACGATGTTGGAACTTAGCAGAGTCACGAAGCCCAGCGTCACTGTAAGCCCTCATTAGTCCTTTTCCTTGCAAGGTCTGCAGACCACCCAGAACGGCCGGTTCTATGCCATCTCTGCCCGGTTCAAACCGTTCAGCAACCGAGGGAAGACCCTGGTCATCCAGTACACAGTGAAGCATGAGCAGAAGATGGACTGCGGGGGCGGCTACCTCAAGCTGTTTCCTGCCGATCTGGACCAGAAGAACCTGAACGGGCAATCCCAGTACTATGTAATGTTTGGTGAGTTCCCCGGGTGCTGGGCACAGCCATTTCTCGGGAGCTTGAAAACCCTTCCATCCGGGGTAAGCGCGAGACCAAGGCTTTGCTAAGCTGCCTGATAGGGTGAGGTCCACGGAAGGGCAGTCGAGGCGTGTAACTGACAGAAGGTTTCTCAGCCCTGTCGAGCTCCTTAATAGGATACAAAAGCTCCTCAGCCAGGACTCCCCAAGGCGCTGGCCCTGAGGTTCTCTTTCAAAGGTGACCGGAAACTCTCCCCCAAAGTCAGCTTCTAACTAAGGGGGTCGAGCTGAGAACAGAAAGAAAGTCACCCCCGGGGTACTCTACCTTCAAGAAAAAATGAGACGAGACCAAATGGACAGCCATTACACTCTTGGGGATGGGGGCCCCTTTTTCTCCACCAAGGGCCATCGGGATATGTCTACCAGCATCCGTGGGTCATCCTGGTCTAAACATTTCATCAACCCATCCCTCATGCGGAGGCTGGCCCGGCTTCTCTTTAGTGAGGCGTGTGATGTTAGCTGGTAGGGATGGTCTTGAGGGCCGCCTACGGTTCCAGGGCCAGCCAGACGTGCCCCAGTCCTGCTCCAAGGCATCCAGGAGAAGAGTGGGGGCAGGGGCCCAGGAGAGTAAGCGAATGAGACCCAAACAACTAGAACCAAGATAACGCGAGTGTTGGCATCATGGGAAGGAGGAAGCCAACGTCCAAAACCCTGCAGGTCTATGGAGGAAGTGTTGAATGGGAGCATGTTGTGAGATATATATATCTATCCCAAAATACAATAACGTGTTTAAAAAACAAAACCACATTGTTCTTCCATGCTTTTGAGGAACATACTGATCTGCCATTTCATGGAATCCAAGAATACTGCATGGATCGGGGTCAGAGCACCGTGGCGGCCTGTTGCTTTTTGGTTCATTTGGTTTTTGGGCCACATGTGAAAGTTGGACGTTGAATAAGGAAGACTGAAGAATCATGGGTGCTCTGAACTGTGGTGCTGCAGAGGAATGTTGAAAGGGCTGGGGACTGGGGGGAGGGGAGGGGGGATCAAGGGGAGCTGATAGCAAAGAGTTCAAGAAGAATGAAAACGTTTTGAAACTGATGGTGGCAGCACAGGAGTCGTTAACACAGTGGCTGCACCCATGAGCTCAGGCATGGGAACGGCGCAGGGCAGGGCAGTTGTGCATAGGGGTCGCTATAGGTCAGAGCTGACAACAATAACATTCTCTCTAAATACGATGGTAAGGCGAGCTAGCAAAGAAAAAAGGCATGTTGGATTAGAGTTGATGTTGCAAGGATTGAAGTGTCCCCGGGAGGCACAAACAGTACCCCACTACCAACCTAAAGGCTGGGGTTTGAACCCACCGCGTGGCACCAGAGAGGAAAGGGCTGGTGATCGACTTCTGCAAAGATTACAACCAAGGAAACCCACCAAAGCAGTTAGAGTGCACCTTCGCTGTATCTGATGGGGAAGCAGCAGGTTTGGGCGTGAAAACAAGGACTAAACATTCCCTACTAGTATGTTGTTATTTTTGTTTTTCTAACTCGGCACCAGAAATGTTCACTCTAACCTATTCTGTCACTGTGAAAGTCAGGCATCGAACTGTTCGGAATTAGTTCAGTCATGACCGTTGCAGCCAGATCAGAACAGACTGACTGTGAAACGGGGCTGTGGTAGAGGGGTAACCGGAAAGGGAACGGTGAGGGGCTCGAAGGCCTCCAATGGGAGACCCGGAGGAGGAGGACTCCCTTGTGGGAGTCTGGT